AGTTGTCTTGTTAATTGTTTTGTAACGTATTGTTCTGTGTTTTTTTTGTATGTATCCGTTAGCATGGTGCTGTATAAATATATTAAGCACTCATTCTTCTCTGTGTATCATTCACCTTGACGATACAACATAAAGTTTGGAGATAATAGGAAACATTTCAGGAGCATATTCCTTTGGAATGATTACAGGGATATCATCGAATATGTGGAGATCTAGTTTGTCAATAATAGCAGAAACCATGGCCGGAGTTGTGTGTATATCACTCAGTAGAGACTTTTTTTTACGGGGGAAATGAAGCAGACAAGAATTTCTTGGTAAAGCACTCTATCTTCAGGATATGACAACAATTCAAATTGATTGAAGAGAACAAAAACTGAGAATTCGCTCTTGTTCACAAACAGCCGCCAGTAATCATTAGAACGAAATTTGTGAGAGGCTGTACGGTGTATCATTCTATCAGTGAATAGTGACTTTAGCTACTTGAAGACATGCTTACATTCATTAAAAGTGGTGACAAAGAGATGCCTGTTGCAATCAGACTTGTTACTCTGCTATAGTTGGAAGAAGTGGTTCCCGTGGGCTATAGTGGCTGAATAGGTAGGAGATAATCAAGAAGATTGGGGTTTCACTTGATATTTCTGTGCTGGCATGAAAGCTTTGACCCAGGAAGAGACATCAATTGCACATTTCTCAAAAGGATGATTAAAAATATCAATCCAAAGGGCATCGCGAAGAAACTCATGATATGAATTCCACTCAGTGTGTTGGTATGAAAAAAAAGGTGTTCTGTTAATAGGGGGTTCCTGACTGACGAGAGATGGAAAAAGATATCTATAGACACTACCGTATGGTCAGAGTTGCTAAGAGGACAGAGTTGCAGAGCACGACATGAGTCTAGGGAGGAGGTAAAGAAGAGCTCAAGTAGACAAACACGTCCAACAGAGTAGGGAAACGCATCGATAATTCTATTATTTGAGTGAGAGATTAAGCGAGTGTGATTTTTAAAATCTGGATGCCTGTGAAGTCAGTGGCATTAGAGTGATGAAGCCACTGGACATGATTGGTATTGAAATTGCTGGACACAAAGATATTTGCAGATGAGTGTAGAGAAAAAGGCCTTATCTATACAAACAGAAATTCTATCTCGCAAGCAACAATTATGAGAGGAAGGTGAATAATAATAAAAGAAGAGATAACTGATTGAATTTTCTCGCGAAAGTTGGAAGCACGTGTAAGAACAATCCGGAGACTCAAGAGACAGTTCCCTTACCAGTGGGGATGCTCGTGAACATAAACACCATGGATATATGTGTAAACTCTAGTGTCCTTACGAAGGAGAGGAAAATAATCAGGAAGAGAGAATAAAGTAGAAGTGAATAAAAGCTTCAGATTAGTTTCACAGAGAGCTACAATGAAGAATGATCAAAGAGAAATGATTCTACACTGCAGAAATTCTTATATATGTTGGAGAACGGTTGAGAGTCTTAGGTGCTTTTTGAAAACTGGTTTAGTTTTATTTATTTATTTGTTTCAGTCATGGTGTTTTCTAAAGGTGGAAAAGGCTCAGAATAAAAGTAGCTGTCGGCCATCGAAGGCAAAGGCAACATGTCAGTCGGTCAGTTATGTGCCATAAGTGATATACGCTTAGGCGATCATGACTGACGAGGCAGATTTTTTTCCTGCAGTAGATTGCCATTTCTTTCTGCGGTAGACCAGTTGCCATCCAACGCAATAGAACCCGGTCTGCCCTGCTATTTACCTATAGCTGGAGGGAAAAGAAGAGGATTCACACCTTTCCCAAGGGTATTAGAACGTAAGTAAATGTAATGGATTCGACTGGAATTCGAAATCAGCTCTCCGATTCCTCAATCGGAGACAGCAGTGTGGCCTCAAAGTTGCCCACCGGAAGTGCTTTACGTTCGAATAATTTTTGCTGTTTCACTTTTCCTGGCATAACCAATCCACTGTCACTGTAAGGCAGCTTCCCCTCGGATAAAAGATATGCATTCAAATTTTGTTGGGAATATTATTTATTGTTTCTTATCTGTTTTTCATTAAATTGTTGATCTGGGAATTGGGATAAAAACAACAGAAATTAGGAATGAAGAAATACTAATAAATAAATGAATCAGATTTGTCAATGTTTCATCTGAAAAAATATTTCATTTTTCTTTTCCAACATCTGAATCAATATAAGGAGGGTAACACACACTTATCAAGGACACGTAGCCTAGTGGATAAAGGTGCTGGTTAGATCCAGTGACTGACTAGACCCAAAGAGTTGTGAGTTCAATACCAGCAGTGGTGAACCAAAAATACTTGAGTTAAGTCAAAGGGAAATAACCGAGACATCCGGAAGAGGCATGACACGTGGAACTAGAACAATCTACTACGATGGAAGAAATAAAGGGTTCGGTTCGAAATTCCAATCATCTGAAGAAGGCTGGAGCGTACAAAACGTTATGAATATGGCAATGAAGATGAGGATAACAGTTCGAATAATGTAAATAATGTAAATACACACTTATCAATATTTTCGCCCCTACAGGGCTCAAGAGTCACTCATTATAGAGCACTACTGTTAAAATGATTATGATGGACAACGTAGTAAGAAATGAAGATTATGACAATAAAGATGAAAGATAAATATTGACTCTTGAAGTGGTCAAGATTAAAGGGAGTTTCTTCCACAAATTAGCAAACCATGGGAAAAATTAACTGGAATTAAAATATGGAGAAAATGAGGATGATTTGACTATGTGGAAGGATCATGTTTTGACCTATCTGTAAAGGTTTGAGCTGCTGAAAAAAGAATGGGGTACTCATCTGAACATTTTCAATGGAAATATTGATAGTGTTAGGCTTGTGATACTGTGTCTGTTGGGAAAGAGGTCACAGAATGAAACTTCTCCTCTACAAGATCATGTAAACATGTGGCATGCGAAGCAATTTCCAATGGCACGCAGTCGCAAATGACATCACAAAGTCTGAACTAATAACTACTATAACGCAAAGAAGATGTTTCAATTTTAATATATACTAAAGCATATATACTATATACTACTATATAAAATATATTGTAGAACAGGTATATTGACCTTGAATTGTATAAAAATACGTATGCTGTTGGCACACTAAATGATTTTACAAGCTTAAGTCGGCACATAATTAGCAAAAGGTTGTCGACTCCTTATGTAAATGATTTTGATCTCTATCAAGGCTGGGAAGTGAGGATATATAAACAGCATCATGTTTAGATGTAACAGAGTCTATCTTCTTCAATTATTTTAAAGTACTTTCATTATAAAACATTTGAATTAATGCAGTTATTGATATAACAAGTAGTCTGTATCTATTCAATTGAAGTTAGCTGAGGACATGAAGGGGTAAAACAGGCCAAATGAAGACCCACTTCAGACCACAATTATTTTGGTGTTTTTGAAATTCATTTTCTCAGTGTGCTACCAGGGATGTAAAAGAAGATACATTTATAAAACAATTGTTAAGTTTGATGAAAATTGGTTGAAAGATCAATGAAAAATAAGAAATAAACCAGTAAAAATCGCGATTTTTAGCTATTTACTCGGCTTTTCACTATATGGTTGTACTCAATTATCAAGTTAAATGACTGTTAAACAATCAACTTAAAGTTGGCTACAATTGAGTGAAGTTTGTATTAGATTGCTTTAAAATTAAGGGTGCTTTTAGTTTAAAATTTGTGTTGTTATCGATTTTTTTTAAATCAATTTTTCGTTATTCGCGTCTTTTAGCTAAATGCAGTGGCGTAGAAATAAAAATGAGGTATCGTTGAGTTCGTCATGATGTACGTAACCTATATACCAAGTTTGAACAAGATAAAAGGAGAAAAGTTGAATATATCGATTTTTGATCGGCTTTTTCTCTTTTTTTTTTTTAGAAATTATCGATTTTTTACGCTATGAACCTATCTCTTTCATTGTACAATATAGACGCCAAGATTGGTCAAAATTGATTGGATGGATCTCGAGGCAAAGGTATCATACAATCAGACAGAGAGACATCCTCTGTTTTATATATATGGATGACATCTCTGTTGAAGAACAACCAATTATTCAAGAGACGATAACTCTTATCGACACCAGGCACACTTTAGTCAAGGTCTGTTTGGTTAGGGTTAGGGTTTGGGTTTGGTTCTCTTCTACCCATAATGATGCTACTTTTTGTTTTTTGGTTAACAAGTTCTCGCAACTTTAGGGCTTGTGACTGATACTCTGTCTTCTTGACCAGTGATTTTTCAGCTCTGGCATACTTTCAGATTTGGCCTTCTTTTACCCAATTCCAGCAACAGATAGACCAAATGTCTAGACAGACACATGGCTTTTATTGATTCTTTGGCACGGAGTAAAATATAACAATAAAATAAATCAGTAATTGCTGTTTGTTGCTGGGAAAAAAAAGGTTTGCTGCTGTGATTACAGTGACGGAAAATTGCTTACGTTAGAAAAATGGGGCAGGGTCACTTGCATTGCTGCAGAAAAGTCTTTACATTCGTGTGTTTGCATCGATAGAAATTGGTCGTTTTAAATATGGCGAGAGGGAGTGGGGGTGAAAGAGAGAGAGAGAGAGGAAAAGGAAAAGAAGGGAAACAGCGAGAGGGGCAGAGGAGAAAGAGAGAAAAGTGAAAAAGAGATAAAATGAATAAGAAAGAAGGAAAGCATGAAATAAAGAGTGAGAGAGAAGGGGAATATTGTGAGAAAGCAGTGATGTTGGAATGACGATTAAATGAGGGGAGCAATCATTCAGATCACATCAGAGAGAAGCAATAAAAGCATTGAATTCATTTTAGCTTTACTCAGCAGCAGCAGCAACAACAACAATAATGATAATAATCCTTACCTTGCTCAACTCTAGATAGGTCTTGCCACCTGTCTATCCAAAAGCACCTCTACATACTGATATCTTCTGTTAGTATAAGAAGCGACATTGTAACTAGTACCGGCTTGTTGGGGCCTGTTGCATAGCTTACAGAACCTGGTATTCCCCAGCGGTCACCCATCTGAATACTGACCATGTTCATCATTGCTTAACTTCAGCAATCGAACGGGAACTGGTGTTTCAATGTCTCGAAAGCCAAACTTGGTTCCATTCCATTCTCGCCTATCAGACCCTGAATTATTACCAGTCACAATAAATGGATGTTCCGGTTTGGTTTATCAACTTTATTCTTCAAATTATTACAATTCTTTATGCTACAACCTAATATATTATAACAGGTGATGAAAAATGGGTTCCATACAACAATGTTCAATTCAAAATGCAGATGATAGGAAAGGTTAAATTTCCAAAACCACTTCAGAAGCTGAACTCCATAGAAGAAAGATAATAACAATAATTAGCAGGAGCCGCATAAATTACACGGATTTACTAATTTGTTAATACTGCATTCTGTACTTTTCAAGCTATGACCCTTCCAAGGTCATTATCATCATCATCATCATCATCATCATCATCATCTATGTACCACGTCCCTTTAGGGTAGATGGGAGCATGGCCCTCCCCCCAGTTCTGCCATCCATTCACACAAGCTCACCAGCTAGGTGTCTCGTTGCCTTCCCCTATCTCTCTTGCCTTCAACATGCCTTGTGAAGGTTAAATTTTTCAACTGTCTTTTCCTGATTCTGAGTAGAAGTGTTCTTTCTGTTGCCATTTTCTTAAAAACTTCCTTGTTGCTTATTCCCTCCGTCCATTGAACGTTCATGGAATGTTCAGTATCCTTATTGGAATCTCAGGATATCGTTAGGTTACGCAATTTAACCTCTCACTGCAAACAACTGCCTCGATCTAAGATGGTGGCTTCTCCAATATCTATCTGTGTTGCCCTCTGTTTTTGTCATTTGACATCCCTCACTCTCTTCCCGTTTTACTCTATCTGCCTCTCTATTTCTGTTTCCCTCTCAGTATCTGTGACACCAAATGTCATACGCACCATACATAAGTACAAGCATGTTAATATATAGAAAATAATAATAATAATAATAATAATGATATCTGTCCAACCATCATTCTGGTTTAGTCGAATATGCTACCGAATTGAATAAATGCCAGGAAAGCAATCGCTTTCAAAGAACGCAGAAACAGCCACATGTGACTTTATATAGCGATCAATGATCCAGTGTATGCTTTACAGCTCAGCCACGATGGACGTCACTGCAAAGCAAGGTTCTATTTTCCATTTTTATGGAAAGCACACCCTCTTCACTCAGATTAATTTCTAGATTACTACGGTTTTCTGTTCAGTTTCGTTTCCAAAACGTAAACAAAGCAATTTCTAAAGAATTCTATTTGCATTATTAAGAATATTGTACTCATTTTTGTTTCATATTTATCACAAGGTTTCGGCCTTTCAGTATCTGTCTATATTTCTGAGATGAGGTATTATGTACACTATTTACATTATTCGGACTATTGTCCACATCTTTGTTGCCATATTTATTACAACATTTCGGCCTTTCAGTATCTGTCTATATTTCTGAGGTGAGGTATTATGTACACTATTTACATTATTCGGACTATTGTCCACATCTTTGTCGCCATATTTATTACAACGTTTCGGCCTTTCAGTATCTGTCTATATTTCTGAGGTGAGGTATTATGTACACTATTTACATTATTCAGACTATTGTCCACATCTTTGTCGCCATATTTATTACAACGTTTCGGCCTTTAAGTATCTGTCTCTATTTCTGAGATGAGGTATTATGTACACTATTTACATTATTCGGACTATTGTCCACATCTTTATCGCCATATTTATTACAACGTTTCGGCCCTTCAGTATCTGTCTATATTTCTGAGGTGAGGTATTATGTACACTATTTACATTATTCGGACTATTGTCCTCATCTTTCTTGCCATCTTTATTACAAAGTTTCGGCCGGTAAAACCATGCAATGATAACAGCAAAAATTGCAATATGAATAATGGTAAAAAATGGTTGCCCAAGACATTAGGTTTATAATACCCATAAATTCATACACAGATGTTCTCAAGGAGACATAGCACAGTGGACAAAGGCGTTAGTTAGATGCAGTGACAGGACCCAAAATGAGATCATTGTGAGTTCAATACCTGGTTAAGGCGGTGGAGAACTAGGGAATTAAGCAGGAGATAACTGATAACTGACATCCATTAGACATGGCACGTGGAACTAGAACAGTCTTTCCCAGTGAGCGAAATAAAGAGTTCAGTTCGACATTCCGACCACCTGAAGAAGTGACCGAAACGTTGTAATAAATATGGCGATGAAGTCCGAATAATGTAAATAGTGTAAACGAAAATACTTCGTTTACAATTAAGAAATCTTTTTATGCGCTTCAAATGCTAACAGGAATAAAAGATTTATTTTCTTTTCAGCTGTGAACGAACGCGTGAAAATAGGTAAAGTGTAATTATTATATCACAGTAAGAAAAGAAATCGTGTTATACTTTCGACTAGATTACGTGTTATGACTTGTTGCGGATTTGAATCAACCCACAACAAAGAAAAAGGCCAGAAAATTGTTTAAATATAAAAATATAAAATATTTCATTTTCTGTCTTTACAATTAAATTTTTCGTAGAGTGTATTATTGCTTTTATTGTCCTTGTTTGTAGTTTTTTGTTAAGATGAAAAGAAATATGATTTCTTTGCGTGTATGTGTGATACAATAAGTGGCAAAAGTGAAAGTGAAGAGGAAAGTGTCATGTAGCTTGGCGAGGAAGTGTATAAGTGTCACGTAGCTTGGTAAGGAAGCGTATAAATGTCCCGTAGCTTGGTTAGGAAGATGGGTGAATGAGTAAGGGAATCTCTTTGAAGGTACCGTCATGAACTCATGCCGCATGTATCTGTCTTTATATTCTACTGGTTTTGTTTGTTTAGAAATTTTACTTAAACACTCTTGAAAGGAATCACGAAACATGTTTATTATTATTATTATTATTATTATTATTATTATTATCGTGACCCGTTGGTTGGAAAATGTTAAATATTTATTTTCTAAGGATTCATTTATTAACCGGAAGGATGCGCAGATCCTCCGACTGAGAAACCATTTTTTGTCTTTTGATGATTGACTGATTTGGTGTTTATTCCCGCCTTAGCTCCATAGACTTGGGGAAAAGTCTCCCGTCATCTAAAATATGTGTTTATCATTATTCTGAACTGAGCTGATAACCTCACACTTGTTGGTTTTGATACTCCGTTTTGTTCCTCTTTTTTCTAAAAAAAACAAAAAAAAAAAACAAAAAAAAAACGCTTCCCATTCTTTTGCAAGTGCTGTCAATTAATATTCTCCCTTTTGCTGATTTTATCACATTATTTTGGCCAACTCATTCTTCAGCCTTCCTCATTTTCTAAAATGAGTAATTATTATTCTATAAGTTGTTTATATTATTATTATTTTATTTCCTTTAGAACCCGTTTTGTTAGTACCTAGATAGATGACCGCTTGGGAATACCACGTGCTGTAAGTTTGGATGTGCAGGTGGTGTAATGAATAACGGCACGGAATTGTTAATCGGAGAACCGAGTTCCAATTTCATTTGGGATTGTTGCATTCACTTACGCGCAAATACCCTTGAGAAAGGTATGAATTCGCCTGTTCTCCCCATCTATGGGTTAATTAGTAAGACTTGTATCACTAAATAACTATTATATAAAATAGTCTTACTATCTAAAATATTTTCTGGCTTTAAATACCTTGCAAAGGGTTGATAAGCCGTAGAAAACGAATCAATTGATAAATAAAATCTTTATCCTCCAGATTCCTTAGATGGTATCTTAGGTCTTCTTGAAGTGTATATTGTGTGTGGTTTGATGATTATAAGCACATAAAATGGAATCGCCGAGCTGAGTTCAAATTCGGGCCGTGACACTTACACTCTTGGGAAAACATGATACCATCTCTTTTTTCACCCTCAGCTACGAACAAATAGCAACGCAGACTAGATTCTTTAGCCTCGATGACAACCAATACAGGACCCCCCCCCCTACACACACCAAAAAAAAACAAAAACAAAAAAAACTCGGAATGCGAAACTGGTATCTTCTCCATATCTAATAGCAGAATATAGTGTCAATACTGATTGTAAAAATAGAATAAAATTATTAAAAGTAACAATAATGATTATTAAGCCCATTCTGGGACAGAGTTATGTCCCCTTTGTTCTAGATTAATGTTGTTGCTATACAGGTTGATTGAAAAGTAACTCCCTATTTTATGTATGAATGGTCAGCCAGAAATCCTAAGTTAACACTCTGTGACTTTTTTCTTTGGCGTTGGATACACGAGTAAGTCTGTTATATCAAACCAAGACTTTGGAAGAACTTGAAGAGCAAATACAAAAAATTATGTCTTCCATACCATAAGAGTTCCTGGGGAAATCATTGACGCGATTCCTGGGCGGCACGAGAAGCTGGTAGCAAAATCTGATGCCCATATCGAATTTTACATAAAACCTCGTGCTAAACGCTTTTCTCTCATAACCAATTCTTGTAAAACTTATAGTTAATAAATAAATTATAAGTATTTTAAAATAGAGAGTTACTTTTCAATCTCAGCCTGTACATCGTGAGAGTTGGAATAAGTTATTTTAAACGAGACACGCGATATTCTGTTAAGCCTGCTAACTGAATAGTGAAGGATTCGCTATTGAACAGAATGAATTAAACAATTTAAAACAACAAGCATTTCGGGATAAATGAATTGGTTCAAATTTGTCTTATATTTTCGATGGTGAAAGCACGGTAGAGTAATGGGTAGCGGTTCGGATTGACGAAACGGAGAAACGAGTTCGGATTCCAATCGGGTTCTTTACATTCACTTTCAATACCATTGAGAAAGGCATGAATATGAATTCATATCTTCTACCCAAGCAAACTGGTTTGCCGTGGTTGGCAACCAGTCTTGGAGGAAGATAGCTCTGAATTCTAAGAGTTCTTTGAACTTTCTTATACTGTTAAGAATATGATCACGGATAATAAATGCTGGAAGGTCTGCTAGTTCTCTTGGAATCGTCTCTGTGTATAGGTTAAAATATATAGTGAGAAGAACTTTGTCTTACACGGCTTTCTGTTTGTGTGCAG